GTTCTCTCTTTGGTTCTTAGAGTTTCAAGAAGTCCACAACTTTTGGGGATTATCGATCTTACCATCGCATCACTATGGTTATTTTTGTTACATTCCAGATGGATTGCTATAAGGGGGTGACAGGCACCATCTATGAGTATGGAGCCCTCACCCTCAATGGCGAGGAGTATATCCAGTTCAAGCAGTACTCGGGCAAACCCGTCCTCTTTGTCAACGTGGCCACCTATTGAGGCCTGGCAGCTCAGTATCCTGGTAAGAATGCATGTTTCAACTCCTCTGGAACTAGCTTTGTCAGCTCCACGATGCCATATTCTCATTCCAGAAGGTCTTGCTAATTTGTTATTGGGAGGAAGCAGGGGGATGGGGAGAGGGGTGATAGGTGATCATGATATTCCCCTAAATCCTGCTTCTCTCTGCTCCGTAGAATACCAGGAGAATTATTTCCAGATTTGAGAACTAAGATTCTCCCAAAGATTTAGTCAAAGACCTCCAGGAACATACCTGTAGTTGAGTTTGTCACTTGGAGCCCTGAGGAAGAACATATACTGTAGGGAACCCTGGGGCTTCTCAGCAAGAAGGTGTTAGAAAGGACATTTTTGAGGATCTGGGCTTGTGTTAGGGGATTTGGGGAAGGGGTCAAGGTGTTGAAGCTCTGCTCTGGATTGGAGGCTGTCAGAAAATGAGGAAATGGGCACAGTTACATGATCAGGTGTCTTAATAAATCATATCTATAGAGTAGGAGGAATCAAGCAAGGCTAAAACTGTAACTGGTAAAGAAGCAGCAGCACTTATATTGGTAAGAATAGGATGATGCTTGCTCAGTTTTGTGATTTGGACACTGTACATATTTTGTCTGGTTAAAACAGATTTAAACATGAGGGGTCCTTGTCTTGATGGTTTTTGTCTTGATTCATCACTTGTTGCATGATGTTGACCTTCTATGAAGCTGTTTACATTCAACAGAACACCAAGCCCTAGTTGTGACTCCCAACCCAGAATCTAGTTTTCAGGGGCTGATTTTATCTTTCTCACTGATGACTTCTGGTAACAAAAGGAGAGAGGATTGATATTTCATCTTTTGAAAAATACACAAATATTTACACACACAAATGATTCTCCACCTTGCTTTTTCATGTAATAAAATATCTCTGATATCATTGTATATCACCACTTGATGAGTTTCCTCATTCAATTTAAGATACACGTTTTCAGTGTATTGCTGTGCTATAATTTATAAAACTAGTTCATGAGAATTGTGAAGAGCATCTCATTCAAATTTTACTCCAGATAAGGACACTGAGAGAGTTAAAGAAACTTGTCAAAGGATTGGACCAAGGTCTGCTATGTGTTTCTGCAATAGGAAGGAAATATTCTTGATGGTTAAAGATAAAAGGGATCATAACTGAATTAATATATAAAAACAGGAAAGCACTTTCCTTTAAGAAGAGGTCCTTGAGGGGAGATGCCTGCAGATAGAGCTGAGTCTGAATGGGATTGCCTTGTGCTGTCATGGAGACGATAAATCTGAACTGAAAATGGCTGAAGATAGAAATAATAGTATAAGTCCAGACAGACAGTTGGAAGGGTTACTGGCAGTGGTAAAGAGCAGTCTGGAGTTCATAGCCTAGAATCCCAGTGAGTGTTCTAGGAAAATGGCAGCATTTAGGTCACTGGAACTGACAAGAAGGTAGAGAGCGCTCTGGAGCTAGGCTTAGCATTTCTCTGATTCCCACTACAACCCTCAGGTTAAGGCACGAAAGAGTGTTTCCAGGAATGTGACTAGAGTGTCAGGTTGTGTCACCACGGAGCATAGTAGGAGGAGAAGGAAGAGGGTAGAATGTCCATTTCGTTTGCCTTGTCCTGGCAATATTTTTTGATCTATCAATCAATCAATCAATCAATCAATCAACCAATCAATCCACCAGCTAAGGAAGGCAATGGAATTTAAATCTGACTTCTCAGCATCCAACAGGAGCCTTCCCACAGAGGACTGACCAGTTTGTGCTTTTTAAGAGGGGCTCCTATTGGATGATGAAGTGGAGCCACTCATGGGAACTATTGCACAAGAAAAATGGCAGCTCTCTGGATGAGTTTCTGGAAAACTGTGTTCTAACTTCTTCTCTGATTCCTCAGTCTCTGTAATCTTGAACCTTTCCCTTCATAGTCATCATCTTATTCATGTGATAAATGGATAAACTAGTGGTCTTTACTGCTCAAGGTAGGGCTGTTGTCTGGGATATCCATGCTGTTCATTCTCTACCTGCAGAACTGAATGCACTACAGGAGGAGCTGAAGCCTTTTGGTGTAGTTGTGTTGGGGTTTCCCAGCAACCAATTTGGAAAACAAGAACCAGCCAAGAACTCAGAGATCCTCTTGGGGCTCAAGTAAGTGCCTGCTTGGGACTCTGCAGAGGCTCTGTCAAGATGTTCCTTGCACATTCTACCTAGATGCTTCTCATTCTGGAAATTTCTGGGGTGGTTAGTAGATGAGTGGGATCAAGACCATGATTGTGATGCTTTGAATTCAGTCTTTCTCTGCTGAAGGTGCTCAATAATTCTCCTTACCTTTGAGTTCTTTGATGATAAGACCAGGGGAAATCTAATGGAAAAGATGCACAGGGAAAAGGAAAGAATATAGGAAATAGAAATGAATCAAGAATCCTAAGCTTAAAACATTGCCTTCCAATTTTCTTGGAATTCTCTATTGTCTCCATAAGGCCTATGCATGAAGTCCTGACTCCCAGAGACTTCTCCTTCATCACCTTCCGTGTCTACAACCTCTCTTTCTTTATCTCTAATTTCCTTTTGTGGTCAAGCTGCAGTGGCCATTTCTATCCATCCTTGTCTTAATTTGGATCCTCTTGGGAACACTCTGGTTCATTGCAGGTATGTACGTCCAGGTGGTGGCTTTGTTCCTAATTTTCAGCTCTTTGAGAAAGGGGATGTAAACGGAGAAAAAGAACAGAAAGTCTTTACCTTCCTGAAGGTAAGTGGCCATAAACCTGGCATGGATTTGTCAGGTAGGTAGAGATACCCTGGAAGCATGGGGCTCAAGTCTAGGACTGAGTTTGGACTCTTGGAAAGAAATGCTCAGATAAGTTCATGGATCGTGGCACTATCTGTTGTGAGGCTTTAGCTTCAAGTAAAGGAAACATATAACACAATAGCTCCAACATAGACTAACCTTCCCTACTGAATGGTAATGACTCATTCATACAACAATCATTTATCAAATTCCTAGTTATATGCAAGAATTTGCTACACAATGAATTAACAAATATTACTAGGGCATGGTCTCTTCCCTGAAGGAATTCATATCTAATCAAGGAGACAAACATCGAAATGGATAATATAACGTCAATGTGGTAATTAACTTTAGAGTCACAGAGTGTTAGAACCACAGAAGCCCAGGATAGAAGGACCCTTTTTTTTTTTCAGCTAAAGAAACTAAAGCTATACAAATGCCATGACTTACCAAGGAAAACAGAAGATAGTCTTTCATAGAAGCACCATGATATAATCATGAGAGTGAGGGAGAGACTGGGAAAGGAAAAATGTTTTCTGTTTACTATCATACTGTCTAACTCTTGCTTGATTGGTAGTGGTTGTACTGGTAATGATGTATTAAAATGTTTGTGGTTCATTAGGAACATGTCAAGTAGTTAATATGTTGAGATACATACTGGTGAGTGGAATTTCTAGGGGTGGAGATAAGACTAGACCACACAGAAGCAAAAATAAACTGTCTTTCTATTTTCCATATCTCTGCTCCAGAACTCCTGCCCTCCAACCTCTGATCTTTTGGGCTCATCAAGCCAACTCTTCTGGGAGCCCATGAAAGTCCATGACATCCGCTGGAACTTTGAGAAGTTCCTGGTGGGGCCTGATGGAGTCCCTGTTATGCGCTGGTTCCACCGGGCTTCAGTCAGTACAGTCAAGTCAGACATCCTAGAGTACCTGAAGCAGTTCAAAAGCGAATAGGAAGGGTCAGGGACCGTCAGAAGTTGCATTCCACCTGAAAAACATGTTTAAAGATCTGCCTCTGCTCCACATCCTTGCTACCCAACATCCATATGACCAAACCCATAAACCCTGTACAGCCCAAAAATCTGTGCGTGTGCACATACACAGGCACAGGTGTGTGTGTGTGTGTGTGTGTGTGTGTGCCTGTGTGTGTGTTGGAAGATTAAGGGAAAGAAAACCTATCTCTCAACTCTCTGATCCCAAAGTGTCAAGTTTTTCCCACTCCATTCCAAAGGAAAATCATATTATGAATAAATGGTTCAGATCACCCATGACCCTAAAAAGGCAAACCCCAAAATTCCTGACATCCATCCTTTCCCCATCCTGAAGGTTTAAAGAAAGCAGAAACTGGCAGCAAGACTCTCAAGATCTCTTTAATAGCCTCTTCTCTCTTCCAAGATAGACATGCATTGTTAAAATTCCTGATGAGTCTTCCCTTATTCTCCCTAATTCCTGTAGTTCTCTTATAGGATCTCTGAAAACAGAGTGAGAGCAGAAACCTCATGTCACGTGAAAGGAGGGGCATCTCCATGATGGTGGGTCCCAAAGCCCCTGTGGGTCGGACCCTACCAGAGCCTTCCTTGGTGCCTGTCCCTTAGTGCATTCAGGTCATGGCACCTGGGCAGCGATGTCCCTTCATTCTGAATGATGGGCTTTCTCCTCACCTACAGTCTCCCCAACTTCAAACTCATTCTTATCACCGTCTCAAATTAAAAAAACGTTCTGCAGCAGCTGGCCTCTTGTGGTGTTTTCCCAGTCCCATATCATGTCTGGAGTCATGCCAAGTCTACCTCTCTCCCTTTGTCCCTGCTGTCTTGGCTACCTCACCTAGATCTTCAGTATTTTGTTTCTCTCAAAAGTGCTCTAGACCTTTCCTTGTCCCATCCAAAAAGCACTGGGTGGGTCTGGCTGCTCATAGAGTTGCTGTGACATGAACACAGAACACAGACCTCTTGGAATCAGCCCTTCTGCACTCTCCCATTCAGGTCCAGGGTGGGGTGGGGTGGGGAATGTGTCAGAGGAATCCTTGCTTCTCAAAGAACCTTCTCTCTCTCAATAACAACAAATACATATGCATTTCTGTTTATAAAATTAATTCCCACTCACTGTTAAAAATCTAAAAACACATAAAATAGAAGAAAAGCATAACAAAAGCCACTCCTAATCAGAGAGTAAAAAAACAAGTTAGAAGCCCTATCTAACCCCTACTGAGAACAATTCAATTCATACATCTAATGATCAACATCTCAAATAAAATATTAATAAGTAGAATCCAGGAAGAATAATTCCTTCAACAGGACCAAACAAAATTCACTCTGGGAATTCCAGGATTTTTCTAAATGGCAAAATTCATTATTTAACAAATGCCAGAGAATAGTCTCATGACTTCTGTGGCTAAATATGTCAGAACCCCTCTCCTACCTCCTTAAACATGAACACTTCAGATTCCTATTAGGTGAAGAATGTCTGTTTTTCGTCAGTTTGTGAACTTCAAAATAGCTTCAAAATGGATTAAAAAACAAAACAAAACAAAGCAAAAAACAAAAAAACACTTGCAAGTGAAGTGAAAAGACCAATGAATAACTGACCAAAAAAAGTAATATTCATACTTTGTCACACACATACATACACACATGAATTCCTCTAATATCAAGATAACATAAATCAAAGAAAAAAACCTCCAATCACCTACCAGAAAAATGGACACCTTTCATAGAAAAGATAAATAAGTGGCTTTTAAAATGTTGAAAAGATCTAAGTCTCATAATATTGTGGGGGTGGGGGACAAAGTAAAACTGTAGTGAGATACTATTTTTCAACTATCAAACTGGCCAAAAAAAAAAGAAAACCTTTTGTTGTTTCAGACATAGATATCTAAACTTGATTGATCTTTCTGTTCTCTTAGGCAAGATGTTCAAACTGAAAAGCCTGTTTTCTCACCAGTTAAGTGTGGGTAAACATGATAATATCCTGATACAATTGTTTGAAGATTAAATGTTTTAATGAATGTAAAGATATGAGATATTTAGCATCTAGGGAGCAGATATAAATGTTTATTGCTGCTTAATAAACTCTTCTAGGGATGACTACTAGCAAGAGACATCAAAATTGCCATCATGCCTAACTTTGACTTATCCATTCCGCATCCAGAAATTTTTCACAAACATGTGAAATGTTCCAGATACAAAGTTGTTCACAGCAGCATTAGTTGTCTGGGCAAAAGTGACAGGATGGGTAAATTCAGCAGAATGCTAGCGGCTCTTTATGTTTTTTTATGGGAATGACTCCAGGATATTTGAAGTGATCAAGGTGCTCAAGAGTGTGCTGGATACACTATCATTGAGTAAAAAGTGGGTTAATGATATATACGCACACACTTGCATGTGCAAAAAGTGTCCCTGGAAGGAAGTACAAAAATGAATATGTTTGCGTATAAGGCTGAATCTGGAAGGCAAGATGATGTGGGAGAGTGGGGTGGAGGGCGGTGGCTGGCGCTGGTAAAGAGGTAAAACGGGTCCATTTAACACTTTTTCAGGTTTGGGATTCTATACAACATAGAATCTTTTTACAAAAAGAAAATTCTATCCTTTTGGACTACGAATCTTGACCAAAGATCTGAAAAATAAGGAGAAATATGGGAAAACTTGGTTTTTCAAACTGAACCTTATTTATCCTCAATTGATTACGATAAAGACAAAGTTCTTCCCTGAACGTGTCACTGCCAAACTATCATCTCCCCCAAAAGCAAAGTACTACAGCCAAAGACTGGAAGGTCTCTCCCCAGACCTCCCCGCGGGCTTTATGGAAGAGCCTATGCAAAAATGATTGGCAGAAGTGGGATTTTAATCTCCCTGCCCTCAAAGACCAGAGCCCTCCTTCAATGATTTGGATCGCTTAGACACTTTGTCTCTACTAAAAAACCAAATTCTCTTAGAGCTATTTCTAATGCTCAAGAGACACGTAAGGAAGGTAGTTTCAGTATGAACCTGTATATTACCTTCTTTACTCCTTTTCCACACACACTTGTCGGGAACTTAACAAATCTTTCAATCAGGCAAAATTAAGGGTTAAAACTGTATGCTCAGACCATTCCTAGACTCCCACATACCAAATATCAGGTGCTCCATCTTCCTCCCTGATTCTCTACTCTGTAATGAGTCTTCACAGCTATGTATAAAACCAGAATTCGGTTTCAGGTGTTTGCCCCTCTATCCATCCAACCTGGACCCAGAAGTCCGAGTTTCGCCTCCGGTGCTGTCCCTTATGATACCCGGGTGCAAAGGAGAAGGTAGCCAGAGAATAAATCCATTAGATTCTAGAAAAAATCGATCATTGAGAGAACGCTTGAAAATAACCATGGTCGACCTGGCTTTGGAACTGCGACGCCGCTGAGATGAGTCTCAGGTTTGCCAGCTGAATTTAGGGGTCCGCGAAGGGAAGTTATATTTCGTGTCCGCACCCGGAAAACGGAGGAGCTCCTCTCCCCTCTCCCAACCTCCGCATCCCTAATTGCCTGGCATTCGAGAGGAGACTCTTTAACAAAAATCCTATTGTAAAAGATACGGAAAGAAACATCTGTGTGACAGACCTGCTTTTTGCTGAATGGGTTCATGGTCCTAATTTCTAAAGGTCAAGGCTGAGATCTGTTTGCATTTGATGAGGGTCTTCGCACCCACCTGGGCCTTGGGAGCACGGGGCCTGCTGATTCTATGAATGCAGTCTGGACTGGTCCTCGTCCTCTCCCCTGTCCTGGCCTCCCTGCCCCTCATCACCTCAATCATCTTAGTCCCTGCCTGGCACCTTCAGGTATCTCAAATGAGTTACTTTGTCACATATGGCCAGTTATTTCATGCAAATCCTTGAAGCTTGTTAAAAATTATATATTTTAGAATATATATTTCCTTTTAATAGTCTTTACCACTTATTGCATAGCCTCGACTTTCTGTAACACTTTTCCTTGGGATAATAAGAAGACTCCTTTGTCTAATGCTGCAACCGCTTATTACTTTTCCTTTTGTATTTTTCTATCTCCAGTGCGTTCTGAGGAAGTGAAGCATCTCCTTGGAGTTGGCGTATTTTCTGAAGGCAACAGATTAACACTGGATAGCATGAATTCATTTTTCTTTTTTCACCAGTGGAAGTAAAATGAGATAAATTCAGCTTCATAGCACAAGGTCAGATGGCTCTATGGCTTAGTTGGTTAAAGCGCCTGTCTCGTAAACAGGAGATCCTGGGTTCGACTCCCAGTAGGGCCTTACTCTTCCCCGGGAAGATAACACTTCCTGAAAAAAAACGTTTTATGTTGGCAAGTTAACCGTCTTCTTGCTGATTCCTCCAAATACTCACTAAACTTACAGCGCCGGGGCTCAGTAAGATACATTACAAGTTGTTTAATTGCAGCTTGCTTAGATTCCTTGCTTAACGGTAGATTCTTAGCCAGATGACAACTCAGATACAAACCACCCTCAAAGGATAGTGTATGTGACCTTGCGCCAATCACTTTTCATATAAGTTTTGCATTAAACTGTGGTGAGATGTTTTTCAGCACCCACAATGTGTTACAGTGTAAAGCACATAGACGGGTAAATAGGTAAAATCTCCCTCAATTCTAATGATCTCCAACTCTGTAACTGTTTTTATTAAGTAAGATAATTAAGGAACCATGAATCCACTATTAAAAATTAGGATGTTTGCAGGGACATGCTGGCCATTTTGAAGGGAATATGAGGAGGAACAGTGTATTCCCATGTTATTCCTCTTAAAACACTAAAACTTTAGGAATGAAGATCAGCTGGAAGGAAAAATGTTCTAGCCACAAGCACCCTGGAGCTAAGCCAAGCTGCTGTGAGAAAAGGGCAATTTGGAGAATTCTTCCAGACAGCTAAAGGAACTGAGTTTCAGCCCTAGAGACTTATGGAAAGTCTGTGTCTTTTTGTCTCTCCTTCGTTAATTCAACAACATTAACTCGTGGTCTTTTATGTAGCAGACATATTTCTGTCTTTTTCTTTTCACGGAGTCACTGGGGATTGAATCCAGCACCTCCTGCAT